CAACTGCGTGAAACACACAGTAGTATGAAACTTCAACTGCGTGAAATACACAGCAGTATGAAAATTCGGCTGCGTGAAACACACAAACTTCACGCATGCGTGGAGTGTATGGAGTGTACGGGAGTGATTCACGCAATGGTGCGAATAGTCACGGCCATTAAATTATTGAAAATAAATGAAAATTACACCGATTCATTAATGAACAATTAAAGAAAAACTAGCATTTTTCAACTTTTTCCAAAATAATGAGTTTTATAACATAAAAAATCGAAAACTTGAATATTCGCAAGTAAAAATAATGAATTACTCATTTCGTATCATTTCGTATCTAGCGTTCAGAAGTATTTCACAAGAGCACAGTTTTCGGCTGTTCAAACATACAGAGTGGAAGACGAGGTATAGGAAGACGGAGGTTGGGTGCATGGTGGAGACGGGGGTGTGGGTTTTGGGGGGGCAATCAGCGAGTGTTTGCCGCCCCACAAGCGAGGCGAGGCGCGTCGCGGATCAAAGGATAATGGGGTGGGCCTGATAGCACTGATTTGATTGTTGCCGCAGCTATTGTCCGGAACTGTCCCCATTGTCATGTACCAACCCCGAGAGTCCTCTCTCGTTTTAACTCGTTCTATCTGGCGTACATAGGAGTTTAGTGTCTACACATACCCGGAGTGCTCACTTCTGTTTTTTTTTTTTTTTTTTTTTTTAAAAAAACTCTTTTTCATCCGTTTAATTCATTTCTCCATTCTGTTTCACTTCTGTTGAATCATGGTTTTTTCATCTTTTGGACAATTATTTGACATTGAGGAAGAGTATCGCGGGGAAACGGACTGACGCGCGGAGACCACAACGTTTAAATGCATTTTCTCCATTCGCCTTTCATTTTTTTTCTTTCCTCTGTTTATAATCCAAATCGACCGTTTTCGACGGACAATTTTGTGTCGATGGGGACACCTGCAACACGTGGTAGGAAGTGACGGTGGTACTATCAGCTTAAACTAGCTAATGCGTACTATGCCGGCATCAAATCGCACATGCATGAAAGAGAATATAGTATACTTTCTGTTCCAGGGAGTTGCTTCCGAATTCAGTTGAAGTCGCGGGATTATTTTATTAAGAAATGTTAGCCAGGTATTTTTGTTAATGGATTTTTTTTCAGATACGATTGGTATTTTGCCCACAAGGATAAAGAGATCAAGTTGAGGATTGATTGAACATTAATCGAGTTAAGTTTAGTTAGGTGTTGTACTTTTAATATAAAACAAATGAGTTATGATTTTTGAAGAAAAAAAATCCGTAGATTAATTATGTGTCAGTGAAAATGATGAGATAAAAAATAAGAATTTTATTCTTCCATTGAAATCCACCGGTTTCTTGATAAAGCCCAAATCCTGGGAAACCCGGAATCCTCGTGAAGCCGATATAAACGAGGGAAAGAGAAAAGTTTAGTGGCGTGCACAATGTCGGATGTGTTTGCGTCGTGGGTTCCACATTCGATTGAGGCGTAGCGAGTCGTTTTGTCTTTGGATGCGGGTACCTGTCGAGGGGATGAAGAGGCTACACAGAGCGAACACCCCCACCCCACCCCACCCCACTCCCTTTATGTCCGTTCAAAAACAAATTGCACTGCACTGCTACATCATTTAAATTCCAAAAAAATGATGCAGAAAAATAGAAAATCAATCTAGAAAATGGCCAATAAATCTCCAGTGCATTAAATTTTAAAAAATATAAAAATGAAATGATTCTCCCCCCAAAACGGATTGATTTGCCTTCGGTGTTGGGCGCTGGGGTGGCTCCATCCGGGGGGTTAGAATACAACAAAAAGGGTGGAGCTGGTGAGCTAGGATTGGCTGATGGTTGGCCACACCCGTAGGCGTTACCTTCAATAAACACTCGACTAGGGGAAGCCCCGGACTCAGCTACAAGGCAACAATTCCAGTCACACACGTCATTTCAGTTCTCACTGGGACACGAGGACGCACGCACGCACGCGCGTTCTCTCATTCCCTCATTCCCAACGATTTTACCTCACTCATCGCACAGAGTTCAATATTGATAAATAATTTTTTTTCGTTTTTAAATTCATCATTAAAAAGTGTTTTGTTAAGTCTGAACCACTGATTCAGTGGAAAAATCCAGTGTTTCCCTGATCAAGTGAAAGCTACTTCATTATTCATCCTTCAAAGGAGATAATTGTGACAAGTGACTGATTCTATTGTGAAATTGGAAACTTATCGACCGGGATCAGCGATGGTTGTGCTGTAAGTAGAATATCCAATTTTTATTGAGTTGTTTTTTATGAATATCTCGAAATCTAAGGGATTCTCCAAAGATTTTTTGTAGGGAAAAAATCAAAGCTAGAAAAAAGCTTGAGTGGATCAGCCTGCTATCACACTAGAAGATAAGTCAATTTGGTTAAAAAGTGCTGGAACATGAAAAATTTAGCTTCATGATTTTTCGTGTTCCCTTAGAGCCGAAGATATTCGTAAAAAATCGACTGCTTGAAAATTCCTACAACACCAAGGATTTTTCACTTTATGAGATCTCTTTTGAATATCTCGCCGTGCGAGAACTAGTTGGCTAGGTGTCTAATCAGTGGGCGTTCGCCCATTGCCGTATGGGCGTTATCGCCGTATCCTATTGGTTGCTAGCTTATCCTAGGATTCCCCCCCTTCATGTTGCAGATATTGTTCTCGATGGGGATTTACCGACAAAATGTAGTATATGTGGAACAGCTATTACTCAATCATCAAGATACATCAACGATTTAAATATTAATGAGGAATCAATAGAAGAACTTTCTAAAATGCATTGTATCCTAGACAAGTTTAATCTTAGATCTACATGAAATTTTCTTACTGAGATTTTTCAGAGCAGAAGAAATATCCTGATTTCAAGTAAAATTGGCTGAAATAAAATTTTGCTCTCTTTATCCTTTATTTTTATCTCCTCTCATTATCAATAAAAACCTAACACCCAACAAAATGAACCCATCACTCGCAATTCCAAAAAAAAAAAAAAAGTGAAATTTTAACCTGTTCCGCTATTCTCCCCACATTTCCCTCTTCTGAAGATATTTAGTGTGGGTTTGATATCGCGTTTAATATCAGTAAAAAAGTCCCTCTTGAATATATTCAACACACACATGCAGTACCAATTTTATGTACGTTGTTGACATAGAAAATAATCCAACGAAGGAGTAAAGGAGTAAATAAGTATGTACTCCTCGGGTTGATCAAGAGCTGAGTATATAATGGTGCGTGCCAAGTGTGTACCACATATGTCTTTTGCCACAAACACTGCCTACATAATCTTGGCTCCGTGATCACTGACCGATGTATCATCTTACGCCGGTGCTAAAGGCGATGACTTTATCACCGATCCGGGCAATCATTCACTCTCTATGTACACGTCTCAATGTATATATAACCCTTTACACCCTTTAAATTCATTGCTCCTCTCGCAATGGGAATAAACAAAAAAAGCAATGAATTGACCAAATGGGAATGCCTATCCCAACTTCCGTTCTACCAATATTTCCCAATCATCTGATGGACATGCTCTTCCGGGTTGTCAACAGCTCTTATATATACGAGCCATCGAGAGAAGCTCATGGCATTTTGTCGAGTGACTGTTAAATCTAGACAGTTACGATGCACACCCACTCGCCATTTAGAGTTGTAAAAAGCAGGCTTTACAAAAATCACTCCTATTTATTTCCGGGAAAATGCAATTGATTGGAAAAAATTTAGCATTATTCATGGAGCACATCATCTATGTATTTATATCATTTTATTCAATTGAATTACACTTCTTGTGCAAATTTTTCTATAAAAATAAAATGAAATAAAATAATACTGTCTATATTATCTTGAAACTTTGGTAAAATATGGTATTAGAAAAACTTTTTTTTATGTATCTTAATTGAACGAATTTGAAGCCCATCCAAAGATATCTCCGGAATTATTATTTTCAAAAGATATGAAACGTTTAAAAATTATATTCTGTAAATCGAAACAATCATTATTACTATCACTTTCATTTGAAGATTGAAAAAAAAAATCGGCAGTTATGGAGGATTGAAAATGATCGGGCGATTCCCTAGAAAAATCGGTATAAAATAATCCGGAAAGGAAACGCATGTGAACAAGCTTGTCAGCCCACCCACGGACACCCATAAGTATAATACAATAGTGTATGTGCATGCATGGAGTTGTGAACGGTACGGTGTCGTCGGTGCGTAAACCATAAATCGGGATTTTATCTCGCCTACCACCTCTGTTCAGTCACCTTTGCCGGGTTGCAATTGCGCAATGCTAAATTACGTTTTTTCTTTTTTTTTTTTCCCCCCCCAACGAAAAGAAGAGAGGGATTTTTCATTGCGTCTCAAGCGGACCTGGACTTCTAGCCAATAACCCCGGGTGGTTGATGTATATCCACATTTGCATATTCGATAATAGGCTCGATTTTTCATCGGTGGATCGTTTGAGCGGGTAATTGGTACACATGTTCATTGCTTTTGGTGTTTATTTTGCAGGAGTCGAGTTGGCTCGCCGACTATGTCAGCAACTGTTGCCGGTAATCAACAGCAACAGCATCCACATCAGGAGTGGGATATTAATGACTCTAATGTACCGAGGGTAAATATCAAAAATATGGCGGCCTACTACCCCTAAACTTTATCTGACACTGGAATGTTGTCAATTTCAACAATTTTTCTTTTGAAATTGTGTAAGCAGTTTCTTATTCGAAGGAGACATTCACTATCTCTCAAAATTTACTACATTCAAAGCTATCTGAAATTCTTATATATTCATTTCAACAATATTTTTGTTGCAAGTGAAATAAGTCGACTTAACTCGCAGGATGATAGTTGAATGACTCATTTTCGGAAAAAAAAACCGACTTATGACTCTTTACCGCATCGCTAATATAGAATTCATTCATTTCGGACAAGAGAGAGAGAGAGAGAGAGAGAGAGAGAGAGAGAGAGACGATTCCATTATTAAGTTTTGATAAATGTACTTGCCCCAGCCCTTTATCGTCATTAATTAACCCCCATTGTCTTTTCCCTCCTCTCCACAGGTAGCTGAATACGACACATGGTCAGAATGGGCCGACGGTCACGTGCGAAAAGTCTACGGGCCGGACTGCGAGGAGGCCCGAAGACATGCGTCCGGTTGGGCAATGCGTAATACAAACAACCACAACGTCAGCATCCTAAAGAAATCGTGTCTCGGGGTTCTAGTATGCTCGCAAGCTTGTGTTTTACCTGGAGGTGGTAGAGTTCACTTGAGACCGGCAATTTGCGATAAAGCCCGGAAAAAGCAACAGGGAAAACCGTGTCCCAACAGACAGTGCACGGGCAAACTCGAGGTTTTGTCGTGTCGAGGTCACTGCGGGTACCCTGTCACGCATTTTTGGCGACACACAGAGCACGCGATATTCTTTCAAGCCAAGGGTCAACACGACCACCCGAGGCCGGAGGCCAAATCAACGTCTGAGGCGAGACGAAGTGCAGGCGCCGTCCGGCGAGCTAGAGGATTAGTCGCTTTACTCGCTCGTGACGCAGCACTTGGCTCAAAAGTACGGTTGAAAACAAAATAACTCTAGCACTTATTCATTATTATTACAATAACAACAACAACTTACCGGACGAATGTGTCTCCTAACCTGCTTGTTGATCCTCACACCGACTTGTTGATTACTTTTGTGTATTTGAGGTTATTTCATGATTTTTATGCTTATTTTCACACTAAACACTCGGACACTGACACTGACACTGATACACTTATCACTGGGTTTTTATTAACAACATTAGACGATTTTCTTGCAGCTTATGTCTCTCCGCGGCGGCACGAAACGACCGAACACCGATCCACTGGAGCTCCCGCCAAGAACTGCCGCCCCACCCCCTCCACTCATATCTGACAAAGGTTAGCGCCCCCTGCTTAGTCTTTTCTTTTAAAGGATTATAAACATGTTTTGTGTATTTATATTATAAAGGGACTTATATGGAAAATGATTAATTTCAAGGAAAATTTGATCCATTGAGGCTCAAGTGTGGCAATTACTCCCGTCGCCCCGAGTGGCGCGCAATTCAAATATCATCATGAGAGAGGTAGAGGGAGAAGGAGAATACACTTGGCGTATTTAGGGCGCAAAAACGATGAGAGACTCCTCTCTCAAACACCTGCTTATAATTCTTTATTTTTTCATTTTTATTTTTTATTCTATGGAACTGATTGTCAATTTATGGACATTTTCATGAAAAATGTAGCATGAGTCATATTCACAACTAAATGGACGACTTTCCTTGGAAAAAATCTCATGAATACGATCCTCATTAGAGAAATGGAAAGAAAGAAAATGAATGAAAATAAATAAAAATATTGACGTTTCAGCAGGATACTCTTGCTCCTGTCCACCGTTCGAGTGTGTCTGCGGCCTTCAAACGACACTCAGCCATCCATACCCCACCCAGCCACCACCGCAGCAGCACCAAGCAAACTTCTACCAACAGCAAACAATCCCCCCAGAGACACCATTCTGGCTTCAAGAACCGCAGCAGAATCACCACGAAACGACTCTTGGCTACTGTCTCCCAAGTCAAGTCCCCCAGGAGCCCGCCTACCCAGACTTTCCGGTCTTCCAGGGTGAGCTCTTCCAGCCCGAGGAGATATTTCAGCTGGATCAGCCTCTGAGACAGGATTTTCAAAGCTCCCAGGAGGCCGCCACCCGATCTCCACCAAGCCTCCTCGACCTCGGTAGTGGCATAATCAAATACCAAGTTTCAAAACAGCCCCAGGAAGCTTACTGGCATCAACTTCTGAGCGATGATTCCAGTAGTAGTCACTTGAGCCTTTCCCAGGCGAATAATCACGACGAGAGGCTTCAATTCGCGACGTTTGAGTGCTCTCGAACATGTTCCAATGAACCAATTCCCTACAGCTGCGAAAAACTATCTAAAGAAGAAGAAGAAGAAGAAGGAGAAGGAGAAGAGGCAAAAAAACATGACGAGCAATCGAGCTATTGGCTGTCCGACAGTCGTGCAGACTTTTCTCATTACGACGACAAAACAATGACCTGTGGAATGAGCAAAAATCATCTTGAAGATTATCAGAAGGAGATTGAGACTGCAATACATCCTAGTCAAAGTCCAAATACTCAAAATACCCCTGTTTTCACAAACTTCGATAATTACCACCAAATAATCGACACTAATGTCACGAAAAGCCCTGGCATCGGTGACCGATTGTTCCCAGAATCCAATGACGGGACGATTCAACATCCCCACTCAAGCCCCGAGCCTTATTTCTACCCTAATAACGATCGCTGTCATTACACTTGCCAAGTGGTTGACACAAGACTCCCCCAAATTCAACTGCCCCCGAGTAATTCCGGTAATTACGACGTTTCTGACATTGAAATACCCCAGTTTGTCGATTACACACTGGTCGGTATGTTGTGCAATTCTGGTGATGATAATTTAGCGAATAATAATGTACTTTTGCCCAACTGTCAACAATCGCCCCACCAGGCGTACGTACAAAATCATTAGAAATTTATTCGTTTTAACATTTATGTTTGTAAGATGTGTTGAACATTGTATTTGTATTATAAAATAAATATACTGATTAGTTGGCAACAATGGCTGGAGATTTATTTGACTTGGTCGGTTCGATTTTATCAGGGGATTCTTGTATTAAAAATTTTTGATCATTCACTAGTAACAACATTTCAAAAGCTGGAAAAAATCATGACGAAATTCAGCTTTTGTTTCTGTTGAAAATTTAAATAACATTTTAGAAAAGTGATAAAACGCTAAAAAATTAAAATGTCTCATGTAATCGTTATCCACCATCCACTGCCCAGAAATGAATAATTCCACTTGTTTAATCCCATTGAATTCTCAAACTGATAGCCCAAAATATGAAAGCCCACTGAATCTCTGCATTAATTCTCATTATTTCCCCATCGTCCAGATAATTGGCCCCCGCTGTGTGAATTATTCATCCCCACCAATTCCCCCTGGACAGGAGAGATAAATAAAGTACCTTGAAAAATCGGTTAAAAAGTCAAATGGCTTTTATTCATATTGATGATTATTATTTCGTTCGTTTATTGCGTAACAGATACTATCACGTTCACATTGTTCTCTTTTTCATTATAATTATTTCGCAAAAGTATATACGAAGCCGCAATGGGGAGTCTGCTGGTACGTACCTAAAAGTACGAAATTACCTCACTTGTATTATTATATCAATATTTATACTCCGTATAAATGAAGGACAACATGAGTCGTGAGCTCCTCACTCAATCGTCTCTCTAATTGTCGAAAAATTTCGACAGAATAAAATTAAATCTCCATAATTCCATACAAATATCAAATTTTATTTCGATTGCCATTCTTAACATAACTAACCACAGCTCTCAATCACTCTTCGACATTCCGAACGCAATAGTCCGTTATGTTTCCAGATGAACAAAAAAAAAACATTAAGCTCACAGCGATAATTATTTCACCGCTGAAATATCAAATACACTTCGTTAATCGTATCCTTAACGTCACAAAATGAAAATTGCATATATGGTACAAAAGTTACTCAGCATGGGGAAAAAATAATGAGATAAAACCTACGAAATTACGTTTCAAGTGAAAAAATAACGCATAAACAGACCTCTATACTCTATGCTAAAAAAGAAAATAAAAAGAAAACTCATAATAATTAGCCTACAATTTTTAAAGATCATCTTTTTCGTCATTTTTTTTTTCATTTTACATTTGTTTTTGGTTGAGAAATGAGAAGTGTATAACGCAGCAACCCACGTGATAATGACTATTATTCAAAGGTGAGACATTCGGAGGGTAATTACTATTAATCTACTGAAGGAATTACTTTAGCATGCGAAACTTTCATATTTCAATATTTTCACCTACATTGTGATATCACGGTTATAATAAACACTCTTCAGGCACGTTTGTTTGATATTCCGAATCTGAAAGCCCTCACACTTGGATGGGTGCATATGAAAAAAATAAATAAATATAATGAACCAAAAATCCAGAATAATTAAATTTGTGATGGATAACGCGTAATTAACATCAGGTACCAAAAGTAAATAGTTCCTCCCAGAGGAGTTGACAGGATCACACACACACCCACACACACACACACACGTACATCAGATGACTCCCAGAAAAGGAAAATTTTTAATGTACCGAATGACGCCAGGAATTTCATATCTCTGTGTAAAAAATTTATAAACTTTGATTAGCGTTTTATGCGTGGAATATTCCGTCATCATGTCGATTCATTAAAAACAACTAAAATAAAAGTGAAATAGCAAAGCACTAGGCGTTTAATCCGTGTCATCTCATTTTTTCAAAACTTTTCATTTTCTCGTCATTCTAATCTAGAAAACAATTACAATAACCTAATATTCAAGGACGATGGGACCTGATTAATCCGTTCTGAGAGAAACGAGGAGAATATTTTTAATTCTGAGTGCGAGACGATATTACTTGCCAGATGCTAGTTAATCTGGCATTGAAAACATTCTACTCCTGAATATTCACCGCTCCTCATTAAGTGTGTTAGTTATCAACCTAAAAATGTTCCCCATAACTCAATTGAAGGAAAAAATAAAAGGGACGATTCAGGAGAAGGAATTTACAATCGATAGGTTGAACTGTAAATCTGGCTGAAAATTTCTCAATTCTAATAGCCAGAATTTTGTAATGAACTCGGCGAAATGCATGGAAGACATTCCACCACTCTGTTGTGAATCATCCCCACATTTTAAATTCAAAAACTACGATAAGAGGGTGAAAAAGGTTGTTAAAGTTGTAACGATCACAGCTATTTTATATACGATTTGTTATTTCACGAAAACAAAAAACTCTATCTGTGTATGTATACTATATTCAAATGGTCCTTAGAACGATGTGTGATTGTTTCTGTATATTCTTTTACAACTATTAAATGTGATTCATGATTCAATGTTTGAAATTTGAAATAGATTAGTGTTGATTGCTTTTTTTCCTTTATCATTTTTATTTGTGAGATCTATTCTAATTGCTCATACGTTGGATATTGTACAACCGTAAAATTACACACGTCTATTATATATGCTATTCTGAATAGTCAATATCTAGCTCAGCTCACGTATGAAATAATTTTTTATTAAAAAAACATTAGTTTTTCTCGTCGTTTTTCTGACTGTTGTCATTATTCTTCAATTTGTTTTTGTAAAACTCCTCTTAACAAAAATTTAAGTAGTCGTATTTTATTTCGTTTTGCTTTAAAAATTCATTATGCAGTCCATAACTATCCAACAACACTCCATCTATATCACAATAAAACGCCACCGCATCCCTCCGTTTTTTGTTTATTTATTTATAATTAAATCAACTTGTACAAATTATTCCGCGAAGGATCGTGTAGACATCGACGGACTCGTCTTGTCGCAAAACCCGATCAACCTCGAATTTTATTTTTTATTGGAATCAGCAATTTTTGGAGGACTACACGACACGAGTTCGCAATCACAGCGCTTTTTGTATTTTGTTTTCTGTAATTGTGATTTTGGAGAAGGATTTTTGATTGAGAAATTGTGATTTTATCGATTTTTGGAGTTTGACTCACTGTTGACTCTTGTCGGAGGATGAGGTTGTTAGATCCAATTCTCGCTGAACTGGCTTCACACGGACTCGGTAGAATTTCGTGCCTTGAGGAACGTGGTAACGATTTTCCGACTGAAATGAAAAGAAATTTCTTCTTTTTATTATTTGAATTTTTAAGTAAGATAGTATATCAGAAAGCTCAAATTCTCCAATAATTACCTTTTTGGCGTGACAATACTGTTTATCAATGACCTCGCCAAGAACATAAATCTGCTTGGGCAATCCATCGCTCTCCCGTCTCAATTCAAGTGTATCAATGCACTCAGAGTGCAAAAAATACATAGTCCTCGACTCCTGCAGAATTATATAATTGCTGTGAACCGTATCCCACAGAACAATTACTGAATCCCCAGGGTTGCAGCTATTGAGACTGATGCATGATTGTTGAAAAAGATTGGTGGTGCTCTTGATGAGTTTTTCTCGATAGCGAAAAGTTGCATCCTGTCTATTTTGATGATCACAAGAGCCAGCAGCAGCAGCAGCAGCAGCAGCAGCAGCCGCCGCAGCAGCCGCAGTAGCAGCATCAGCACTCCCAGACTCGGACACAACAGCCACTGAAGTATTCATCTCCTTGTCACGTGCGTCCATTGAGGCCGAAATATCGGTGACAAAGCCTCGCCTGGAGCGCTCCTTGACCAGTTCAACCTCCAGTCGCACTTTGTCAGCCTCTAGACTCTCGACTTTGGCCTCCATCGACTCGTTCGACTCCTGAACCACTTGCAAAGTGGCAGCCAGTCTCTTGTTATCGATTTCAAGGCATTCTACACGTCTCGTAAGACATTCAGCAGTGTTCGCCTCGAGTCGGACTTTTTTCGATTCTGACACTTGAATATCGTCTTTGCTCGTCGACATGAGGGATTTAAATGTGTCATCCAACATCGTTGCACCACTCTGCGACATTTTTATTCGTCCCTCAGTCAACTCTTGGCGAAGTTCGTTTCTCTCTGCTTGCAATTCGTGGAGTTGAGACTCTCGTTGCTTGAGGATCTTTCGCTCTGTTGCCATTTTCTTCTCCAAACGATGTTTTTCTTCTTCTAATTTTTCCACCTTCTCGGACAGTGTCTGTCGCACTCGAGAATCATCCTCAGTAAGCCGTCTAATGATCTCCTGATACTTCTGGCATTCCTCAACCAAGGCAGTCTCCCTCATCCTATGAGCCTCAGCCTCCTCCCCCATTTTTTTCTCAGCCATCCTCAAGCCAAATTGCAATTTGGCCTCAAAGTCAACCGTCTCCTTTTCAATGGCCTTCCTAACAGCATCAGCCTTCTCTGCAATGAGATCCTCCTTAGTCTGCGCCAATATAGCCTCATGATTAACAAATTCAATGACATCAGTCCTCTCGATCTTCTCAAGACTCGAGTCACTGGGGCTCCTCTCCATAACCGTCGACGCAGCCATCAGTTTAAATCGACTCCTTATAGTCTCCAATTGAGTTTTATACTCCATCTGTAGCTTATCACTCGCCTCCTTGAGCAATTTCTGCTGATCGGACCTGGCATTAGCGAGACTATCCTCCAGTTCCTTGACATTCTGCCTGCACTGCTCCAGAGCATTGGTCAATGAGGCTATCTCCACGAGATGTGCTTCATTACTCTGCTCCAGTGAATTCTCCTTGTCAATTCTTGCCTGTTCCATGGCATCTTCCAACTGTCCCTGGAACCTCAACTGAATATTCCTCATTTCTTCCTGCTCACTATCCAATTTCTGTCGCATTGTCGTAATCAAACGCTCGTGCTCAGTCAGCTCAGCATCCTTATCCATAATGGAACGTTTCAGATTGATAATCTCCTCATCACGAGCCTCCAATATCTTCTTGGCATCCGTCAACTCCAACTCATGATCGACTGTCAATTCCTGTGCACGTTCCCGCAATGCTCTTTCACACTCTCGTGAGTGAACTGCCAATGCCTGGCCAATGCGCTCTGTCACCTCGTGAATTCCACATTTATCATCATTAACTTTATCCCTGAGGATTGCCAATTCCTCTCGAAATGCTGTCATCGCGTCGCTCATGGCTGTCTTCACTGTTCGAAGGATCGTTCGCAGGCGTTCAACTTCGGCTCTTGTATTTCCGAGATTCTCCTGCAATGATAAGATGAAGAAAAAATTGTTGGAGGAGAAAAATGCATCATCAATTATCTTGATTTTTACGTGCTCGAACTCATCATCAGCTGGTGAGGAATTTTTTCATATTCATGGATTTTGTGTTAATTCTAATGGAGTTAAGCTAGTGTAGAACCGAGCACCCTGTGATTCACATAATTCTTTTATTAGTAACAAATGGTGTCTGGGATTGGGGGTAAGTGTGGCTGGGTGGGTGTCTGTGTGTGTATGTGTGTGTGTATGTGCGACGGCATCAGCTACGTCCTGAAAAAAAAAACGATGGAAAGGTTTGAAACTACTGGGGGTAAGGGTAAATAAGAAGAGATCACGTTTATGGATTTTTCTAGAGCTGGAGAATAATATAATGTTATTTAAATAATAGATATTGATCATTTAATCAGCATGTCTTGAAAATCATTAAGCGATTTTTATCAACACTACAATTTTGCCATCAGCCAGCTCTGGAATTTTCTAATGCCTCTAGATATGTAAAAGTTACAGAGGAGAACGAAAAGCAACAAAGGAATCCCCCCAAACGGTAAACAAAAAAAATATATATATATATATATTATTCACAATGGTTGATTTGTCGACAAACTGTGGTCTTTTTATCTGGAAAATTTCGATCCAGTACCTGAAGAAGATTAACAATAGCCTGATGATGGCCATCGCTGTGATGCTCGCTGAGGCTACTCGGCAGCGACTCATCCATGTAAAATTCAGTACCCAAAAAATCGCAATTCGTTGTCTCCCCGTATGGACTGCTATCCCCACTCTCCAGCTGTACGTTGAGCTGATTGAGCTGGCCGTCGCACTTGACATTTGTCATGGGATTAATTGGGAAGGTACTCGGTTCATTATTTTCAATGCACTCGACTAATGGACACAGTGCAGTTGAGCGATTTAAATCAACACGCGAATTTAAGGATGACATGTTAGTGGATATTGAGGATGTGGGGGACACGCTCCTCGAGCCACCAACCTCCAATTGTTTTCTCAGTTTGTCCTTGGTCTCGTAGCATGTGGGCTTGCCATCATTTCCCTGAACTATTTTCTCGAACTCCTCAGTGTCAGTCTCCGACTCGAAACCAACTCTGTGATGGAAAGGAAAAAAAAAAAAAAGATTTTGATTTGGCCACACTTATCGAAATTGGCTGTTTTTTTTTACATAGAATCATTTAAAATCACCTGTCAGTGGTCATAGGAATCGTCTCTCCCTGCTCTCCCTTGGTAACGATATCCACCGGCATTGATGTGCTCTCTGCCTTATCCTTGTTTCCCTCTTCTCCACTTCCCTCATTGAAGCTCTTCGACAAGAAGAACTGGGTAATACTATTCAAATCAGGTGTGGAAACCGAGTCAGCAAGATCAGGAAGTTGAATCTTCAGGGACTCCATGTCTTGAGCAGTCAACTTAGGCAGTTGACTATCAAAAACCGTAGGTGCTTGAGTGGCAAAAGGTGGTGGTGTATCCTCAAGCCCTGGAAACAATGTATTCAAGAAATGTCCCTCGAACTTGCTCTGAAACTCCCTTCGTCTTTCAATCTCTTCACTGTGAACCCCGAGTAGTTGACAAGCAAGATTGCTTGCCCAAACGAGAAAGGCCTGGGAGAATGTTCGCCTCCTGACGACCTCAGAGACAGCAGTGACGTACATGTGTGGAGCCAAATGAATTTGCTGAAGGACCTCTAGATGACGTCTCAAACGTTTAAGATTTTCATGATACATGACGAGTTTTCCATCCACCTCCATCATCTTGTTTTCGACATAAGTGATCCACTTGAGTCTGTGATAGATGTTGACAGAGAGTTCCTCTTTGGCTCGTGTGCACCGACGTCTGATGTCCCTCAGCTGTGAGTGATTCTCCATCATAACCATCAGCTGACGCCTGTGAGAGGCGCACAAATCAGGAAGAACACTGGGATCACCAAGATTATTCGCACGTGTCTGATTCTGAAGGAATCCCTGGGCCAATTCCCCCTGCTCCTGAACAAGTCTTTTTGTCTGATTCAACAACTGCTCGAGGGCGAAGAGCCTCTCCCCCAGACCTTTGATCTCCTTCATCTCGGGACGGTTAGATCCAACAATGGCAGCGTCCACCTCGTTCTTCAGTGCCTCCATCATTCGTTGGTCAAATTGCTCGAGACCTCGGGAGCACTGCTCAGCCACTTGCTCGAGACTACTCTGATTGTCTTTAGCGGAGATCCAACGAAGGAGACTCAGGACCTCGTCTGGGTGGTCTGGATGGTCCTGGTGATCTGACGGCTGCTCCTCTGGGCTCAAGAGACCCTCTGCCTGGGCACGAAGTGCCGGCAAAATTGGAATCTTCGAGAGAGTTCCCAGGTCTGTATTGAAGTTGTTCAACAATTGCATGTGTTGCTCTCGTTCTGTCAGATAATGTGTGAAGCTCTGCTGGAGTAAATCAGCCTTCGATTGAAACATCTGTGTAATATCCTCCAAATTGGCAACGACAGCAGCCCAGCCCTGCTGCTGAAGATGTTGATCATGCACCAGTCGTTCGCACGTTCTCGTCTGCTCTCTGGCGATGGCACAGCACTGCTGGGCCAGTTGTGCCCTTGCCACAAGGGTGCTATACGTAGCTGGCATCGCCAGAGATCCGGTGATCTGCTCCACGAGGTCAACATCTGGGTAACAAAGTAAGTCTCAGTAACAAGTATTGGAAATTACCGCCTAGTTCTCTCGTATGAAAGTGGTGAAAGTGAAGTGATTGATCGAACACCCCGATAAAGAAGACTCATGTTTAAATCTCTTGTAATCGAGTTCATTGACATGTTTTCGCGAGTTTTTATAGCTCAATTTAATGATTATATCGTGGAAAGCACGTTGAAATTAGGTTTACTGCGTGAATTAATGTCAGGTATTTTTATTTTTATTTACGAATAAATAAAAAATTAGGTTCAGAGTGTATCGATCACCACAATTTGTGTCAATTGTGGTGATCTCATTAGTTATTCTGAAAAATACATCAATTAATTCGGTCAGCTGATAATTCATTAATCAGGCAAGGGTCATTGCGCTATCAATCTCTGGATGGATTAACTTTGCGATATTCCTAATTATTTAATTTGGGTCACGTACACGTGTTGTTGGTATTTTAGAATCGTTTTTTTTTTTGGGGGGGGGGTAATTTAAAAACACACACGCACACACACACATTTGAAATAAACGTTGTTCCTTTTTTTTTCCATTCAACAATATCATCGACAGGCCATTGAAAGAATTTTCCACTATGAATCGAGTATTCCCACCATACTGTATAACCGTGATAGTTACGCAATGAGTGGTTGTGTCCTCGATCCACGCGCACTATTTGATTACGCAGTGCTCATTTACTTGGAGCTCATGTTATATCTGTATTACTTGTGTACATGATTAAGTGGCGACATCGTTGTGTGGGAGAAGATTGTCGTTAGTTTGGCGTCGCACAGTCTGCTATGCCCAGCTAAACGCTGTCATTATTCTAAGCTGCAATGCTAGGCTGACGTAAATTCAGTATTTATTATAGAATGTTCATTTTTGCTTTGTGCGAGTCATTCGGAAATAATATTCCGAATAATTAAAAATTAAATATTATTGCGTATTGCATTTTATTATGTCAATAAATGTTTGCCGATGCCAATTTAATTGTTTATTGAGTGTTAATAGTGACTAGCAAATAAATCACTCTTTATCAAGACTCTTTCTTTTATTTATCCCTCATTTTTCCCTAGAAAAACTAGCAGTGAAGTGGAATCGGATTATCGGATCTTGTCTCTCCGATTTCCATATTAGAAGGACGTAAATAGAGGATTTAAAATGAAGAAAAAATGGAACTTATATTGCTAAAGTGCTGTATCATTATTGCTTTGTACGAGGTTGAGGATTGATTAGTGGAAAGTATTATAATTCCAATAAATACAAGTAATTTTCATCGACTGTTCTTTGAAAGAATATTAAATTGTACGAAAACTCACCAGTGCTATAATCAGTATGAGGTACAGGTGGTACTTGACTCTCGATAGCAGCTTTGCTGAACAGATAAATGGGATTTGTATCAGTGCCCGCTGAATAGGAGCAAACCCGTGCATTAGGCTCCAAACTTTCCCCACCGCTCATCAAGAGCACTTGGTGGACAGCAAGTACTCCGCATTCTCGTTCAATAGCCTCCTTCAACTCCGCAACACTGAGAGGGAGAATATGAAAAATTCAACAATTTTCTTTCACCTCTTCGGTCTATTTAGCCCGGTGTTGTGAAAATGAATTTAAACTGATTGAGGAAACATATTACACGTGGGAACGGGGTCACGCACAACTAGACCTCGTTCATTAAATCTAACTTTCCTCTTTCCATCTGAGATGATTCGAGGGAGTAGTAGTAACTGCCACTGTCCCGGTTGTTTCTTTCAGCCTCAGCCATTTTTTTATAGAAAATAGAATTTAAAACTTACCGAGGCCGAGTAAATAAATCATCATTCAGGCTTTGGCAACATTTTTCATCATCATCATCATAATGAAAAAAATGAGTTTTTATCGTTTTATTGGATTGAAAAATGGCATACAACTATGATATTATCGTTACAAGTGCCACGCGCTGGAGAAACATGTACATTTCGGAACATTCATTTCTGGTAAATACCAATATGATAATAATACGAATCCAATACTCGACGGTTTATTGCATCAACGGTCGGACACACCGACCGAGCCGTTACAAACTGTCGCCAGCCAACTTCTTGATGATACGTAAGCATCCTTGAATATTTCATCATCAGAAGAAGATTCATGTACTAATTGCAATTTTACCGGAAAAATCGTGGCGTAATTGCATATCGATAGACATTGATCCCTGCTGCTTTCCTTCTCGATACTTTTATTCAGAGTGACAACGTGTGCCAATGACATTTTTATATTAAAAAAACTGAATGATCGATGCTATTATCCAAATGGACACCTTTATAAAGGAGAATGATTTAATGTTTTTTACTTGCATTATGTCTGTGACACATTTTCTTGATCTAAATATCTCTTGCATAAAAAGTTATGAAATTGCGTATTTACATGAAAATATTGCAATAATATTTAACATTATTTCGTTTTGAAAATTGAAATGCCCCCAAATTCCCCAACCCCAACTTCCCTTTTTACTCTTCATAGAAAGGAGTTTCAATTTCAACATATCTCCACTTTCTTCTTCATTCAACATCTCAAACATTGCCTCCTCTTTACGACATGAAATAAGAAAAATATCGTTGACGAAAGAATACTTTCATTTCTTTGTTTCTTCGTGAATTTATTTAAAGCTCACGTAAATAAAGAACAAGAAACTCAAATATTTGAAGAGAAAAATGATTTTTCACAAAGTGAAAAATGTTTTTTTTTTTAATTATTTTTTCAGATGTTGTTTATTGTAGCGATAAATTTGTACCTCTCTAAGGCAAAAATCAATGAATCCCCAATATTGAAAAAAAATATTCCAAACATTTATTTTGCCTCACTAAACACTCATGCCTCTAGCACAAATTAATTACCTCTGCAGAGCAAGCTTGATGTCAAAAGTCAAAGTAGCCCCAGTGTCAACATGAAATATGTACAGCATTTTGTATCCACTGGATCCTGAGCCCTCGAATTTCCTTAGCAGCCCTCAAAGCGACAAAATGAGACGGTAGTCAGCTCGATTGGGGCCGTACCCCACGTTTCCCACAGCTCGCGAGGACGGCCCCCGTTGCCCAGCACTTCATCTACCACCAGCACTCCCCCCCGCCGTTCATGTAGTATAACTCAATTGATCCAGTATTAATAAAAAATCCGATCCACTAGGATCTTTACTGTTGACAAATAGCATTCAGCTGTGGTGACGAGTCCCTTGAAAAGTCCTCGAGTCCTCTCACCGCAGGAACAAAGGAAAAAACCCAATGCCCGATCAGATGTGTCGATCAGCTGCTCGGCCAAAACAAAGCACTCACGCACTCGCTCCTTAACGCACGATAGTTCCTCGTTCTCTCTGCTCACCTTTCCCCAGTTGTCATGGAAAAAAAAGCCCCCCCAGCAACAAATAATTTCCCTTAAACACTGACGTATTAATAACAATGATGAATTGCACTGTTATCCCCCTGTCCCAAGGAACAAAGCAATCTGCGCCTCTAGTGCGAAAACCAATGCGCGTAGAAACAAAGAGTTCGGGCTGCTTCACTTCACCTCAAATCGTTTATACTAGACCAGACGTTTTTAGGATTATTAAGGCTACTATAGTGTCTATTGGCTTATGGCTAGTTTTTTTAATAAAATCAATCGTTTTGTGCGCTGAAACAAATTAAACGCGCAATTGTTTTGGGGTGAATCAATGCTGGCACAGGTAGAGCACTAGGTGTGTGTGTGTGTTGTGTGTGTGTGTGTATGTGTGATGTGGACTGGCAGAGTTGCTTCTGACGCATCGCGTCGCCAGCTGTTTACTGCGACGACGACCAGCGACCGGAGCGCCGTAACGCGTCGGCGGCGTGACGAAGGGAGGGAGAGGGGATGAACGGGTTTGTGCCTGTGTTTTTGGTGAACTTTGCTTAAAGAGACATTCCACTCTGTTCTTTACTGTTATAGGATTAGGTTTTGCGCGGCTTGGGATGCGCGAAGGATTGATGAGGATGACAATACGGGATAAGTAGAAAATTTTATTGTAGACATGATCATTGTAACATATTTTTCTAAATCTTCATAATTCCCAATGAGAAAAGAGTTGTCAAATTCATCATTCATTGGGTTCAGTGTAGGTTTATCAGAAAGGCATAAGAGCATTACTTTTCATGGAAAAAGAATTATCCGATTTGGTTGAGATGAAAAATTGCTAGTTGAAAATGACTGAAAAGGACATTGTTTGAATGAAATAAGAGGATCTCTAGCTCTTATTTTTCAATTGGCTTTACAAAAAAGCTAATAACAAATTTTTACAGATTCCAAGATATTAATTGAAAAGTAATCAATAATTTAAATTTACCTAAACAGTTTTTTAGCCTTTTCCGCTTTGCTATTGATTGTATTATTAATTATCAAGATGAAGAAATGAAAATTGAAGAAAGATAGTGCTGCCATCGATTGGCAGTGGCGGCTGACAGTGGAAGAGAATTGAGATTGTCTCGATAGCCAAGCTCTGACTTCCGTGTGGAGAGTCTTGGAAAATTATGATTCGCTATTGCATACATATTTTACATTGCTTGTAAAACTTGAAGCCCTGTCGCGTCAATTCAGCACATCTATTTGAAGAGGAGGAAATTAAGGGCCTTCATCTGACGCAATTATCCTTAAAGACTATGAAATTGGATTTTTTTTTTTAGTAATGTTTATTCTTTTGTCAATGGGGGGGGGTCTCACAATTAGACATTTCGACGCAACGTATGAAACTGGAGCAGTATATTGAGTATGACTCGTTCGATTTAGACTCTAAATAGAATCGCGTAGGACTTGCAATATTAGATCGATCAATGGATGCATCGCGGCGGTGTATTTATGCAATGCCACTCTATTTGGAAAACTCTGTTTTTATTCTCTACTATTTTTTGCCCAGCTCATACACTCAGAGGTATACCTAGTTTATGATTTTATTGAAATAACTCATGATCCGATCCAAAGCTCTTATTCCAACTTGAAGTAAATAGTATTTTTTTAAAAATATGAATACATATTTTGTCCTTGATCCTAATAAAGACTATCAGTTAGGAATTACATCATTGTTTAGACGGCGAAGAGAACAAATTGATTAAAATGTGATGACCATTGATTTGGAATTTATATAATTTATATGACTTTACTAATTTTTGAAAATGAAAATTGAAAATGATGTAACGATTAGTCTTCTTGAATTATCATGATAAAAAAGTTGTAGTTTGTATTTAGTTTTTGTCATTTTGCATCATAAGTAAATAGTGTTCACATGTTTCCTTGATCCAAATAGAGAACAGTATCGCAGTTAGAAATTACAATTGTGTGGCTACGGCGACGAGAGACAAAAGATTTATTAAAATAATGCTTTACCAATTTACTGTTCCATGTAATTTTCAATGATTGGTATTCTTAAATCATCATACAAAAGTTATAGTCCAAGTTTCTCGTTTTTTTACTACTTGAAGGATATTGCCAATGTCTTTTGAGAACGTGGGTTCGATAAATTTTAATGAGAAAGGAAAGGAGAGGAGGAGGGACTCATGTGTGTCCTGAAGGCTTCAACGAACAATCAGCTGCGACACGTGTAACCGTTGAATATATATACACGCACGTGTCTGCATGGTCTGCATTGTATGAAGCCAAGCACAGAACGTACAACGGTACTTGACCCTAGTTAAGTTTTAAAATTGTCGGGTTGCGTAAGCTCCACTTCCCATCGCAAAACGTAGTTTGTTAATTTAGAAAAAAAATTGCGCCGAAAAATTAGTGTTTAGGGCTTCTCAAGTACCAATTTAAAAAAACCGCTTTCTGCTGTATATATGTTATGTTTTTCATTATAAAAGCGGGGAGAATTTGCCTCTTTCCCATTGAAATTTCTCCACTCAGATGGGATTTAACATTTGATGATTAAGTGATAAGACCCTCAAGGTTCTCTCAAAAGCCAGACCTTGACTCGTTCTAAAGAGAGAGAATCATTTGCGTCGCGGAAAAAAAGCATGAATAACGTATTGCGCACTATCAAGAGTAGAGGTTTTACTCCCGTTGTTTCAATATGTGAGATGATTATAATGATGGCCTCTAGGTGCGGTACGGTGTTAGTAGTTTTACTAATGCCCCTAATGCCGAGACCCGAGACCGAGAGAGCCCGGCGGCCGGTGCCGAATGTTCGCCACATGTGGTGGAAGTCATGCGGGAGGTGCGTGAACACTCGACACCGCACCGAGGTCATGGCAGAAGCACGCGTGGATGCCGAGTGATGCCGAGACTCCATTTCTAATCACTAATCGTAGGATGTGAAAGATTAGAAATGAGGATTCCAGTAGGTTTTCACGATAAAAAAAAAAAACAAGAAAGCAAGAATGGCATTTTGGAGTGATTGGCAATGAACCGTGTTTACATCAGCAATTTGCATTCTTCATTCATTTCTATGATGCCGTTTTTGGAATTATCGGCTTAATGCATAAACAAATGATCACGAGAGTTCAATTGCCGTTGGGAGATACAAAGAGTGGGCTGAGCTGGTCTGTTTGTATTCATTTTCGCGGATGATAAATGAAAGGATGGTAATGCGAGAAGCTAAAAATACCGGATACAAAGGGGAAATGCAGAGATATGGAGATGTGTGAGGTTTCATGGAAAATGTTGAAAAATTCCACTAAACCTAGCCGAATTCGATAGGAAATTCTATTGATTTTTTCTATTCTATACATTATTTTCTGAGCCATAGGTACGCTAACTCGTTTCATCCAGTTGCTAAAAAATGAACAAATGTTCTTTTCTTTTTATTCCCGCGAGGACTCTTATGAAGTAACGTTAGTTTATTATTGAACGCAAATATAAATAGTGGAAGAGAGAGAGAGAGAGAGAGAGAGAGAGAAGAGAAATGGGTCATAGACACTTATGTGAAATATGATATAATAAGTTTATTGAGTTTTCTGGTCATTGTAAATTAACAAATTATTCGTGCTTCCTTCATCATCTCTCCTTCTTTGCGGCCGCAGTGAATCAAAAATTTCATTTATACAATTTTTGCTCAACATTCTTGTTTCGCTTCGTGTAAATATATTTTATTATTTTTTTTCTTTCATAGTAATATAGTATTCATAAGTATTACTTGTATAATGGCGTTTTGTTGTCGTGATATGACACTAGCGTTAGAATAATAGTTAATAATTAATAGTAATTAACGATATTATACTATTCTCCTTGGCGCTATTAAAATTAAAGCTGATAACAATTTTGTTTTCAATATATATACCAAATATATATATGATTTTAATGATAAAATTGATACATGTGATCTTTTAATGGTGTTCCCGTGAATATTATTACCTCCAGGAACTCAAAGCCAATAACAGTAAATATTTATTTTCAATTATCAGTGAGAAAAAAATAATTATCGACTTGGCACCATGAATTTATCACTATCCCGCATATGAAATATATCCAGGGAGTTGAATAATTTCTCAAATAAATTCAGTATTTGAAGAGGATTTGCTTGATGAATAGTCATGAAAAGTCGTTGGAAAGAGGCATTAAATGGGCGAATTTATGAGTTGAGCTCACGTAACTCGTCAATTGCCCATTTGGCACTGTATAATCCATTATACCCAATTACAAGCTAATATTTACAAATTGCACCGAGTATTGTACATCAATGCGTCTAGGATTTCTTTTTAAAAAATGGCTTCAGTGAAATGCTTCTTCAAAAATATTCTTCAATTTCAACAAAATGTCAGATAATTCACGGCCACCTTTCCCGTTTGTTCCCCTTGGCTCTCTCACATCAAATAAACTAATGAAAATAACAATTCTTCTTAAAAAAAAAAAAGAAAAAAAAAGGATAATTTGTTGACAAATAGCTGCAAACGCTTGTCGCAACCAAAAGTAGAAGAAAAATTATTTGACACGTGACATTTCTCGGGATAATTCTTCATTTTTTTTAAATCCATATTTTCTAACATTATTTATTCATTAAAAACACGGCGAGAAAAATCAGCAACATTTTCCAAGAGAAATTAATCTTTAGTCTTTCTTGTACTTTTAACCAACAACTTACAATTTCGAAGGAGAAAATTAATCCTCTTCGTCAGATTTTTTTTCTGAAATAAAAATGATTCGTCATTGTTTTCGATGTAAAGACGATCAATTTAATTATTACAGATCAAGATAAACCAAGTTTGAAAGATAATTAGACAATTGGAAGGCATAGAAGGCACGCGGTACCTCTTATTTGGATACAACATTTTTTTTATTAGCGTTATTGACAAGTTGTCTTCTCGGTGATGTCAGCCCCAGGGCTCTGTTCCCTCTCAAACTCTTGATTCTCATTCACACAAGTATACAATTCAATTGTTTAGGAAATATTGTTTTTTTTTTTTCATTATATTTACAAAAACAAGGTTCTCCATGTGTCTAACGTGGAGCACTTTACCCTCAATTATTCTTCATTTCTGCTCAAAGTGACTGCGATTGCTAGCTATCAAACTTTCAAGTACATATTTATAAATTTTATAAAAGTGAGGGTATATCCCGCATCTTTTGTTTCTCTATCGAAACTGTACAATTTAAATTACATTTTTTTTCTGTCGATTTATGTTTTGATTCTTCAAAATTTAACGCTGAAAGTCACAAAGTCAATGAGGTTTCTTCCACAATCACTCACGCTTTCGTCATTTTTTTCTCTTTTTTCCATCAAAATGCGGATTCCCGTGGCGTTGAGTTCGTTTCATTACCCCATTGATTAAAAAATCAATCAGTCCCCGTAAAAATACAAATTTTTTATGAAGACATATTCATCGCTCTCTCTTCACTCGTTCATTTCGTGTTTCGTTTATTGTGCGATTTTCCATTTTATTGAAAAATTTTCTCGCTATTTCGATGATGAATTTCTTCCTTCGAGAAGGAAGTAGGCTCATCCCTTTCATCTCCAGGTTGAAACAATTTTTCTTTACTTATCATTTTTTTTTTCGTCAGAGTCCGAGAAAGTTTAATTGAAAGATAACCACTTTCCAGTGGTTGTGCTTGATTCTCTCAGGTTGCGTCTAAAACGCACTTTTCAAGTTTTTCACTAGCCGGCTGCTACGTCAACAGTTTGAAAAACATGAGAGCCAGCGATATGTTGATGAATAATACCAACATTACTAATTGTTGTCGGGAAAACCAGTCCTGCAATAATTCATAAAGACGAAATTTCAATTGATCATTTGTTTTTTCAATCGTAAAGAGAAATATTGAAATATTCAATGACTAATGACTAACTTTCCCGAGGTTAGAGAAAATTGAACGATTTAGTTGGAAAAATAAAACTCACTTTGACTTGAGGACTGACTAAATAAAGCAGGGGATTAGCCCTGAGTCTCTCGCTTTCGTCGATTTGTCGTCGTATTTCTTCTCTCCTCATACTGCTAAGAACACTGACTTCTTCCCTGGATAACGGAGAAGTTGCAGTCAATTGAATTGGTCCGGCAACATCCGGCAGTGATTTCTTCCTCTGCAGGGGCATCGAACTCACTGGTATCGCCTAAACAGTCCAATCGTGTTTCCATATTTTCTTCTTCAATTTATATATTATTCTTCACACCAAAGATTTACCAATTTTTGTTTCAATTTTTTCGATAAAAAATTGGAAAATTGGAAAAATTAAGGTAAATATATGCATGAATTGAAAATTAATTGAAAAATCGTGCCATTTTTCAATAAATCTTCTTTGATAGAATTATACAATTGTGATGCTTTTTTTCTCTAGAAATTTTTGAGCGTAAATATTCCAAGTTTTTCTTCTGTATTTTTTTTTTACATTAGAAAATCCAACAACAAAAAATTGGCAAACGACAGCAGTAGTTTTGCTTTTCAACAGCAAAATCTATTAGTCAGCATTTGTTATAGTTCACATATCATTATTCATCACTCCAAACTTTATTTATACTAGACTAGTGGACGTGCACGCTTTTCCTCAATCAATGATAAAGATGAATGATGAGGGAAAAATTAATGAATAATTTTGAATCGTTGATGAATTCCCCCCCTTCACTTTACCAAGTGACCCGATCAATACCTGTAATTGTTGAAAAATAAGGGAATAAAAAAACCAAATTTTTAATCCTCCCTCGAATGTTGTGAGAATGCGGAAAATTTACCTGATTTTTCAAACTATAGAACCCATATACCGATAAGTCGGAAAATGAATGAAAATTAACTTGACGCCACTCATTGACCAATCAGAATTTCGACATATTTCACTTTTATATTTCATAGATAGGATTATTGATATTCAGCTGAGAAATAACAACAGATATACATATATTAAGCTAAATGGAGTGGAATGGTGAGAATTTGATTCATCTCGTATACCTCGACGGGAGGTGCCACAATCCATGACTCCGAGGCCCTCCTGGCCATGAGAGCCGGACTACAGAGGAGCGCCTCCTCCTCTTCATCCGGCTCGGACCAAAACATTTTCGATGTTATGCGATCACTCTTTCAACCTTGAAACATTCCGCCAAAATGCATCTAACTCGATCAATATCTCCTCCCCCCCGGGATCTTGTGTCCACAATTAATAATCGATCCTGTAGTAATAGCGCATGCAAACAAAGAGATAATCCGGCGGATGAAATATTTATATTTTCGCAGTACAAATCACGGGAATAATCAATTTGTTTAAACAATATAATTTTTCATGGATATATATTCAACCGTAATGCACAGTGCAGCAGCACTACTCCCCGTGAGGCTAGCAGGCGACAGACTGAGCACTGTTGTCCCTCAGCATTACCGAAATAGCATCTCACGACGTTTGCATCCTCAGCTCTCCCGCTGAGCTGCGGTACACATTCATTAACCGTCAAAATAGTCCAATCTCCGTCATTGTTCGTGTAATATTAAGAGAGAGGGCTCGGGGGAGTCAAAAAAATCCTGAAATTGCAGGGAAAGGATTCATCTGCGTCATGCATTTTTAGGGAAAAAAATGGCGTGGAAAAATTTGTTTGTTCCCTACAAAAAAAACGAATGTACCAAGTTGAGGGTGATCTGAAGGGGATAAATCATTTTAATGAGCGTTTAAAAACATGAGGTGGGCTCAACGTCATCTTTGCAGCCAAAATAACGTGATTTTCCCCGCATTTCAATTCTTTTTTTTTTCCTCTCCATAGAATAAATTCCATCATCAGGAAGCAAAAAATCGATTTAAATGAGAACCAAGTAAGAGAATGAATCTCGCAATAGATCATCTATTATCTAGTTTTAAAATTAGGAGGTGTAAAAATATCTCGTCTTTAAAGAAGAGAAGAGCAGCCAGTTTTGCCTTTCGATACCTCACAAAAATCTATGCGGCATTGTGACACTAAAAATTTCAATCTTTTGAGTCATTTTCCTCAGGGTTTTGGCAAATTGTCAGACTGCAGAGCAGACTACCCCTATAAATTAGCAAGTTGAAGAAGAGTGAATGTTTTAAATACAAACTATACTATAATTCGCACAATTTTTTTCCCTTGTCATTACATCATAATAATATCAGTGGAATATCAAAATAATCCTGAGGTGACTTCTTGAGGTTCTCTCCATAGGAATCATGTGACCATACTTTATTACATCTTAATGCATTTACAGAAATTCAACCCGCAGGTCGATCTCACACTCGTCCACAAACATTTAACATTATTCGCTGTTTTATTTTCGAGGTAAAGCGAGGTTTCAGTGGTTTCCATCATTAAAACGCAAAAATCAATATTTAGAATTGTGCGAGAACAGAATGACTTGGTGTCACGTCATATATAATTCATCAAGACATTAATTAATATTTTCGGAACTTGAGGAGTTGAAAGCTCATTCGGAATTCACCTCGCGTTATTGTTTCTTCCATAACTTACATTTACAATTTTTCTATTAGTATAATTCTTGGCACTTTGTTCAATCTCCTACAACAAGGCATAGTCGCAGTATTGTTTAGTGTTTCATTGAGTTTTTTTTTTTTTTGTATTTGCACGAAGAGAAAAGTTGAGGAGAAATCATAGAAAAATGTAATTGTGGAATTGACATGTAACAGCCATATTTCCTACAATTTTTTTTTATCATGAGAGACCGACAATTTGCAAAGTCCTACTTTGAGTTTAGATATAAAAAGAGAAAAATTGTCAAAAATATTCCCATTTAATAAGAAAAAATCTCTGAAAAAATGGATTTGCGGCATCAAAAATGATTTGTTTTGTCATTTTTTCCAAATTCCTGATGAATAATAATGAAATTTCCATTTGCAATTTTTCATTTCTGAACAAATTCTTCCTTTTAGAAATTGAAAAATTGAATTCTTGACACATTATATGAAAGTTTGTGCATTTTTTTTGGAACAGACAAAGTAAATTTCACCAATTTTTTAAATTATTCCTCAACATTTTTCTTCGTGTTGTCGACGAAATCAGGTAGGTTTGTAAGAAATAATCAAGGTCCCATCGTCGTGGACGGTTGCGCCTCTCTTTTGAGAATGTGTTTCATTAGTTCATACATGTTAATTCAATATTTGGACGTATTTAAAGGAGGAATTCAAAAAAAAATCCAATATCACATAGAAAATTATTTATATCACATAAAAAGGGTTGAGGGGAAACTGCAGTGACATCTGTCCTATCGAAATATCAATATTTTGAAAAGAAAAAAAAAACTAGAAATATTTTCAACTTGGTATTTAAAAAACTGATGCGAGGATTTGAATTAATAATCAATTGATGAGAAATTCAAGAAGAAGAGAGTTACGATAATATCGAAAATAAAAAAACCATGGAAAAAAGCACAGCAAAGTTGTATAATTTACAGATCCACCAAATCGACGAAAACACTATTCGTAATTTCCCCTCAATAAAAAAAAAATACTAGCAAAAAAAAAGTTTAGCAATCGTTGAATAGAGAGTCATTTAATTCACAAAAAAACAGGCATTACCGAATGATTGTTAACATGTGCGCTATCATTAATCACGGTGAACGACGAAGCTATTAGTCGTGAGAATTGAAAAAATTATCAATATCATGCGTTAGAAAAATAATTCATCTGAATAAAATAGTGTAAAGGGCGTCGTGTGGTGGTGTGGAATATCGGATTATTCTTCAAGAAATTCACTCAGAGGAGTAAACAGGATAAACGAAACATATTTAACATGAAATCAATAGATCTTCCATCAAATACCAGGTATTAATAAATAGAGGAAGGAGATTGGAAAATTTATTAAACAAAAAAAAAAAAAATAAAAGAAAGGTCCCCGCCTCCACACCGCCTCACAACGGTCTTACCTTCTCTTTGTCACTCAATATTGTTTTTTTTTTCTTGTTAAAATTGTTAATTATATCAATGAATCCATGATTAATACCACTATAATTTGTCAGTATATGATTATTACTCATTTGCAACAATTGAAATACCAATTATTCACGTATAATGAAATTTAATTGAATTTTCATAGAAACAGATGATACATTCAGAGAAATGATGCATTTGAATCAAATAAAACACTCTATTTCTCTGGATGTATGAATTTTCCTTTTTAAAATTTTTGGGCATGAAATTCCTAAATATTTTCTGCTCCATTTTTCCTGTTTCTCATTACAAAATCCGAGAAAAAGATTTGGAAAATTCATGTCCACACTTTTCTACCGAAATAGCATAATTTAAAAAAAAAAGAATTTCTCTTCATTTTTTTTACACTCGTCCAATAGAGCGAATGAAAATAATTGGAGTACCTCAAGTACAAAAAAATATATCTATCATTTCACACACAAGCTTGTGTCATATAACAATCGGACGGCTCGCTGTTATATTTCGTTTTTTGTTTCTTAAATTTCTGTTGTACTCATTCGTTTAGAAAAATACAGATGCAATCTTTGTTTCTGCGGTAACCAATATCATACCACCAATATTAATAACATCTCAAGGGAAAGGGGGGGGGGTTAAACGTTAAACGTTAAACGTTTACAACTGTTACCAGGTACATTAAGCATTGTTTCGATAACAAATAAAATCCTTGACATTTTTAATCGTATATTCACACGTAGTTTAATCAGATTTGGATTTTTAAGGAAATGTTCAATGAATTTAGTTGATGATTTTTGAATTGTTAGTTAACGTTTTAGTGTACTTATACTCATAAAGTAGCGCGGCCCTGTGTCGTTGTGGCGAAGGCGGGGACCGTCCTGCTCGTGTCCTGAGATCGCATGCACAGAACACAGCACAAAAAAAGAAAACACCACACAGTTACAGACAGATAGAGGCAAATTTTCAAGTTTTAAGGCTTTCGAACGTTATCTCGATTATTTTTCCATCTTTATAATCTAAAATATATTGGGATTTTCATTTGATTTTACATCATTAGTCCGATGTTGCAAATCAACTAAAAAAGAAAATTTCAAGACAAAATTAAATGAATAATTCCTTGCATTTTTCATGCTCAGGATTTTTTCTCAATTTTATTTGCTGAATTGCAATTATTATTATATTTAAAAAGGAGACAAAACACGAGATATTTTTTTCTTGTAAAAAAATTTCTCTCATGCAAAATTTGATCATTGTACAATGATAATTTTCAGAGACTCGAGGGTTATGTAAAATTGAATGGAAAAATTGAAAAAATAAAATAAACAATGAAGATCACGTTCGAAAGCTAATACACTCGGCTCTGAAGTTAATATAAGAAATGATTTTCGTACATTTCAAGATTTCATAATTATGGGATTACTTGGAGGAGTGTGATGTTAGTGAAATTATTTGTTATTTCTATCGGTTGAAATTAATGAGAAACTTACCCTTATCCCACCCCCACCGCCGTGGACTCCTCCTCCTCCCCCGCCGAGACCACCGAGGCCGCCGCCGCCGCCACCGCTGCTGCCGGCGGATATTGCTGATGTACGCGCTGGTGTTACGTACAGGCTCTCGGTGCGTTTTGGTTGTGAACCGCTTGGAATTACCTCTTGCCCCAGTCCACGACTCTTGAATGCACTCTCAAATTGACTTGATGTTGGTGGAGTGTATATGGGAGTTGCTGCACCGCTACCAAATGCCGAACCATTTAATGGAGTTGCTGATCTCATTAGACTTGCTCCTCTGGCCGTTCTGAAAATCAATGGATTTATTGGTGTGCCGTGTGAAAAAGTTTAGGGGAGTTTCTCAATTTCTCCAAATTCTCTGGGTGAAAAATCCGTGGGGAAAATTGCCCTCGAAAAATTCCCCGGAATAATATTTACTGTTTTAATGTAACAATGCTACTCTACCTGTCTGCTCCATCCTGTGATGTAACGCTCTTATCCACAGAGGGTTGCCTGGATCCTATCAATCGAGTTGGAACCCGATATCGATCGACGGAACTGTCACGACTAGGTGGTCTCTTATAGTGGTCCAATCTGAATAGAACCATTTTTTAATTTTTATTTACTTTTTCTTTGTGTTCGTTTCTTACAAATGGGAGAATTCAGACAGCAACTCCAACAGAAATTCAACCAAATTGAACCGTTTAAGATGTACTGACATTCCTTCGTCAATAGTTGATACCAAAGCCAAAAAATTCCGATATTTACCTATCATTGAGAGTTTGTCCTATCCCAGTAGCTGGTCTATCTTGTTGATTCAAAATTCGGCTATTTCTTCGGATACTCGCCGCCATGGGAGCAGCCCTTTGTGCCTCCATACTCGTCTCATCAGTTTGGTACTGCATTTGCTGTTGCATTTGTTGCTGCATCTGCTGCTGCTGCTGATGATGATGATTAATTGGTTGATGACCATACATCTGAGGATTGTAGGAATTTTGTGCAGGCCCATATTGATTAGCCATTGGCGAGACCTATAAATAATTCCCTCATCTTCAATCATCCTCAACACACTTGAAAAATTTGTAGCAAATGTCATAAATCAGGTTAAAATACAATTCAGGTGGTTTAGTCACTGATCAGGGATATTCATATTGCTTACACCGTAGAAATTCGATGTGAATTGATTACTCGTAGATTCAATCATTGTCTCGTACATCGTTGGAGACTGTATGGGAATCTAGAAGTTCAAAGCAAAAGTTGTCTACTTTTTTGTTTTTTTTGTTCAGATGAATTTAGGAAAAGAGTAAAATGAGTCATTTTTAACCATCACCAATTCAAGATTAGAAGAGAGTGAGCAAAAAATAGCAACTTTAATAAGGGAAAACCGCACGGATAGAAGTAATAAATTTATTAAGACGATTCCAGTGCCATCTCCCCTTAAACTTGAAATAGATGGAAAAAAGAAGAAAAAAATTGGAAATTTCGGATAAATACCTGAGTATTAGGATAATGCGGTGGATATTGATTCGGGAAATTGTGGACACCCCCCTGACTATTAGCATTATCGTACCCTTGTCCAAACTGACTACCACTAGATTGTCCAAATTGTCCAAATTGTCGAAATTGTCCAAATTGTCCAGCACTCTCAACACTAGCACCACCATAGTCATACTGATTCGGTAAACTATTTATAAGATGATTCGGCGGAGGTTGATTATTAAAAGCATTGGGCAATATAGAATTTCCAGGAGGATTGTTGATCTGATTGTGCGCTGGTTTCATACTGGCACGTCTTATCGACTGATTGACACTCTGACTGATGGACTGAGGCGTTGGTGCTGGATTAGCATCGACAGTTGGTGTCGATTTAACAGGCGTCGTTTGATCAACACTAGAAGAGGGATTATTTCCCTTAGAGGACAATATACCTTTAGTGGGCATTGCGTCCTGAGGCGGTGGAACGTACTTGGGTATTTCCCTATTCTTGAGCCTCTCAAGCCCAGGCTGACGGAAATCAGGAGCAAATTGTTTGGCCGTCTGCTGGGCTAATTCCGAGTCTAGTCTCGCTTGTTCAGCAACACTGTCCGCCAATTCGGCCTTGCCGCGAGCCGTTGCAGTTCTTGATATTGCAATATCAGCTTTCTGAAGGGCCATCTTACTTGATCTCTGAGCTGCGTTTACGGCCGCCTCTATTCTCTCGCGAAATTTAGCCGATCTCATGAGGAAGAGTTGCTTCTTCTTCTGGGACGTTATAAGGACGTTGTTCTTATATTTTCCCTCTTCTTTGCTGCCGTCACGAAATGTCGTAACACCGTAGCCGTACTTACGATTATTGAACCATTCGCCCTCGTAACGGAGACCGTCACTTCTCTCGGATATACCGAAACCTGTGCGTTTGTCGTTTTTCCATTCGCCGAGATAGGTTTCCGTTACGGAGGCATCCATCTGCTCGTCCTAAAATACCGAGTAAAAAACACATTTAACATTTAGCACCAACAGACAAATTTCCATTACTCTACCTCAATAACGAAAGATGCATTACTGTCGGTGTGGACTGAAGCTGAAGCCTGGCTTTGAGAGCTCTCTGTTGACATCCATGATGCCGAGCTTGCATTACTCCTTATACTGCCACCAGTGCCTCTTGTTTCAAGATCGCTTGTACTACGTTGTTTACGAATTTTTAAACCCTATCAACAATCAACATCACAATGAAAAACAGCCAATTCATATTTGTTTCTGGCTGAAAAAAAAAAAAATGAAAATATTTAATATACTCATTTTTTCCCCTCACCGATAATAATCCTTTCTTCAAAGACTTTTCATTGAGGCTTTTCCGACGTGCCGGAGGATCGTCACTCCGTGCCTTTAGAACGAATCCCCCACGACTATCATCCACCCGACGATCTCGGCGATCAGTGGGCTCAGGGGTGGGTGCCGCCGCCACAGATGCACCATCGGCGCTTCTCAAGGAAGTCAACGAGGCACGAATCTGCTGCTTTGGAGGTTTGTAATGACTGGCAAGGCCGAATGGGGCACTGGTCCGCACCCCATACCCATGTCGCATACCTCGCATCCACTGACCTTGATAAGTACCTGAAATATAAATAATGGTGTATTTCTTGTCATGGTGTCAACATGTGCAGGGAAAAAAATTTCATTGAAAAATCTTGGAGAATTTTCTTTTGTATTTGTGAAAATTCCCACCAAACTAGCAATTATTTCACTCCCTGAAATTTCAATTTTTTTTTTCCAACAATGTTGTAAAAGTATCTCC